AGAAAGAAAGAGAAAGAAAGAAAGAAGAGAAAGAAAAGAAAAGAGAAAAGAAAGAGAACTGTCTCTTGTCATTCTAAGGCAGTACATTGGTTTGCCTCACATTTTATCCTGCTAACTTAAGATTTATCAGGTTAATGAAAGACCAGTAGATAAAAAGGTATTGTATTATATAAACAAAGACGAATTTCATGCAACCACAGATGGGTTCGAAATGGAGAGGAACTTAATGTCTTGCATGTTGGAGAAGCATGGCCTTCTTAGAAACAGAAACTTCAGGTCAGGCACGGTGGCTCACGACTGTAATCCCGGCACTTTGGGAGGCCGAGGCGGCCGGATCACAGGGTCAGGAGATCAAGACCATCATGGCTAACACGGTGAAACCCCATCTCTACTAAAAAAGTACAAAAAATTAGCCGGGCGTGGTAGCGGGCACCTGTAGTCCCAGCTACTCGGGAGGCTGAGGCAGGAGAATGGCGTGAACCCAGGAGGCAGAGTTTGCAGTGAGCCGAGATCGCGCCACTGCACTCCAGTCTGGACGACAGAGTGAGACTCTGTCTCAAAAAAAAGAGAAAAGAAACAGAAACTTCACTGTTGAGAAGAAACACAAACCTTTCAGGTTTACCTTCCTCTTCTCCCTAAATCCAAATAAGTGAACTTGGGACCACAGTGGGGCAGTCAGCAGCAAGGGTCGCCCATTCATTAACCACATGGATGAGGATCTGGGCAGAAGCATGATGAGGGGACGGCACATCTGGGGTGGGAGCGGCCATAAAATAATGGAGAAGACATTTCTATGCTGCAGATCAGGCACTGAGAATATTCCAGCTCAAGGGCACTGGAGATGGGGATACGAGGGACATCTAGCCAGACCCCTGGTGTGAGTCACCTGGAGTTTCTGTGCCACTCGCCATCCCAGGGTGAGCTTACTGGAAACTATATGCCAGCAGAGGTCCTCCCCGTTTCCTAAATTTTCTACAATCTGGGAGAATATCAGGATGCTGTGCTCATAGGAAACTTCCCCAGGGCTCTTCTAAGAGCTTGCTTTTAATAACTAAGTATTCAGACACGCTTCCCAGTCTTTCTACCCTACTCAAAGAATACTCTGCAATTTAGGGGGCACAACATCATGCCAGATACTTATACACATTTAACATGTATATTTAAGAGTACTGAAAAATGGAGCATGCCTGCCTCACTATCCTAGAGGGGAATTTTTATTTGTATTATAAAGTTGGCTGGGTCCAGTGGCTCATGCCTGTAATTCCAGCACTTGAGGAGGCTGAGGCAGGAAGATCCCTTAAGCACAGGAGTTCGAGACCAGCCTGGGCAACACAGTGAGATCCCATCTCTTCAAAATATGATAAAATAAATTTTAATAATTAGCTGGGCATGGTGGCAGAGGCCTGTGGTCCCAACTATTTGGGAGGCTGAGGCAGGAGAATCACTTGAGCCCAGGAGGTCAAGGTTACAGTGAGCTGTGATCACACCACTGCACTCCAGCCTAGTCAACAGACTGAGACCTTATCTCTAAATAAATTCTATACATATATATAACCATCGAAGTGCATATAATCAGTAATGTGAATTCTGAGGCATAATTCACAGATTTTGTGTACCCTTCACCATTGTAAAAAGTACAAAAATTTTATCTAAATGAAAATTTTAATTCTACCATTAAAAAACTTTTAATCTTTAAATATAATTTTTTCAACATCTACCACTAAAAAAAGTAAATAATTCATGACCTCTAAACGTTTTGGACAAAGTAGGCTTCTCTTCGGGGTACTTATCTGGGCTTCTATTTTGTTGAGGAAATAAAGTCATGCTAATAGATATAGGAGGAGGAAGCAAGATAAACACTCATGTGCTGCCGTAAGATTAGTGACCTCCAAGATTTAGACTGGGTTCCAAATCCCTGAATAATAAATAAATCAGCATGAGGAGAAGCCCACAGGTCTCGAACATGGAGAGGCTGGTTAATGGTAGTCATGAACATTCCGAGGCCTGTGATAACAGAAATGCAGTCCCACTTAATGCTCCAAACGTTATGACTGTAGTTTCAAATTAACTGGCAAAGTGGCGCAACGTTACAGCTGTAAGAGTGCAGAGGTCCTCCAATGACTTTCTAATAACAGCTGAAATCAGGCCGATATTTGTGTGGTCTCTGCAGTTTACAAATCCTTGCACATTGCACCGTGCTTGGACTGAAAAGTTTTGTTAAATAAATCTACACGAGATGCTTTCCAGAATAGGCTTCCTTAATCTTCACGAAAATCATGTAAAACAGAGAGGGTAGGAGTAATTTCCATTCCACAGTGAAGGTGATTCAATTCAGAGATACATGACTTCACTGCCACTAACATTCTTTAGGCACTGACCATGTAGCTACACCCAGTTTCATGTACTAGGAATGTATTAACATGTTTAATTCTCATAAGATTTCAATTTGGTGGGTATGAATAGTATCCCCATTTTACAGATAAGAAAACTGTGACACAGAAAAATTCAGTAACTAGGACATGAATATGAATGTAACTATAACCAGCTATAACAATTAGTAACCAGCACCAGGACTGAACGCAGGCAGTTAGTTTGAGTCCACACTTTGAACTACAGCATCTGCTTGGAGATTTGCCTGTGTAATAGCACCTATGTGCTCTGGCCTTGGTCACAAAGCTAGTCAATGGCCAAGCCAAAGCTATGCCTGTGTTCTCTCCAGGCCTCCTCCCTGCTTCTATGAGGGTAGCTGTCATTTGCACAATGTCACTCAGGCCTCCCCACAAGTCCACTCAACTGATCAGGGTGGGGACGTATAGGCACAACTAACTCTCCCTAGGAACCCGGGTTAGGAAGGCTAGCCTCAGAAGCAAGACAGGTAAGAAGCCCATAGTGCAGAGGCATCAACCACTTGGAAACTACTGGGTATACTTGGGTATAGCTAGGAAATGAGCTACTGAAGATCTACATGGCAGGTTCAACAAAGTCTCTATTATAGAACCAAAAGTCTACTCTAAAACCACAGAGTTAGAAACTGTTCTTGAAGGGGAGTTTACATTTTACCAATCTTGGCTTTTAACTAACCACGTATTGTCTTTCAGGGAAACCTCACAGTCAGGGTATGTACAAAAACCCTGTGGTTCCAGAAATGAATGGGTTTCCCAGTGAAAGAAAGAAATACACAGCCCGTCTCACATCAGAGCATTCCTGATTACAAAGACCCCTCCGAAAAATGGCATAACCTAACACTATGTAAACACAGCCAAGGTTTTAGCAACTACTACATTTAAACATGTTTACAGGGAATGCAGGATGCTTCGCTTGCCTCACAGCAAATGGATTCCTAGAGCATTCTGCAGAGTCAACATTCATTTATTTTTCCACACACATACAAATTGGAATAAAAGATTGTATGCCCCGCCCCCCCCACCAATATTCAGATTTTCTCTAGTAGGAGAAAAATAGCAGCGAAGCTTCTTGTAGAAAATGAATCAACATGCATAGTGATTTTCTTCCAAGCATCCCTTCCATTTTCAAAGACGGAAATGTAATCAGATCCTAAATGTGTTGTTAATAAGACATACTTACTGAGAAACTTGGTGTCAGACTTACCTATTGGATTTCTATCAAAGAATAATACCGGAGCTTTCAGAATTGACTCAAACATTTTGTTGTGCAAAGTTTGTGAAGAATTAACAAGGACGTAGAATACCAATAGAGATCTTGCTATGCCAAAAAGAACGGTAGCTACAGTTAAACCTGAAATAAAGAAATATCACTTAGAGAACACAGCATATCTCTGCATTTTCTTCAACAGTTGCTAAAGCAAGTCAGGTAGTTTATAAAGATGTTACTTAATTTATTGCATAAAGCATCTGGATTCTACAAAAGTATAACGTATTTACAAAATACATTGACAAAGAAGGATTAAAATAGTTTATTTTTCTCTCACTGAATGGAAACTGCACAGAAAAGAAAAATCAGGTGTACAATACAATTTCATCCTAGGCTCTCCTAATTCAATTGCAAGTTCTATTAAAAACTCAGAAGTAAGATAGATAATCATGAAACGTAGTTGATCTTCTCCATATTTCAAATCTTATTATTTACATTATATCCCATAATCTAAAAAAGGTGGTATGTTTTGATACCAACATGTGATATTAACAAGGAATAGGAGAAATGATTTACCTTTTCCTTGTAGAAAATGCCCAAGTAGCTTTAAAGAATTTAAAAATACCACATTAAGTTGCATGTGGAAAACCTCTTGAATAATTGAATTGCAAGAAAACACATATTATATTTTAACATAAGATAATTAATCTAAATAAGCAACTAATCCCCCACTAAGTGTTTTACATAGACACAAGACATTTTTAAATGAAAAAAATAAATCATACATTTTATTAAGACATAAATGAGGATACATTATTCACATAGAAATTAAAAGAGCTTTCCTACATCCCTTAACTCACAATGCTCAATACAGTGGGGGTAACTTCTATAACAAATATTTCCCTTTCAGATGACATGTCACTGTTATTTAACCTCTGAAAGCAGCTCAAATTCCTAACTCCATCAACAGGCATTATCCTTAGCCTGTCATCCTACACAAACATAATAGAACCGATTTCCTTCTTCCTTTAGTTTTCACGTAGTCCGTCAATTTGGAAGGTAAACACCTAACGGATTCAGATTTCTTAGCAAGCGATAGATGAAATAAACACCAAATTTCACTGAGTAGGTTCTTCCAAAGATAACTCACTCTATCTCTGAGGAAAGCTTGTAGGAGCATTTCCTGTGGAAATATTTAAAATTTTAGATGAGGATTTCCTTTAAACAGTATGTAATGCTACATACATTTTAAGCACTCTTGTGAAAACAGAGTGCGGCGTTAATATTAGTTTGGCAAGCCAAATGTTAAATTAATCACACAGTTGGGGACGCGATAACATTGTGATCTCAAGGTAAGAAATAGAAGGCGTCCTAATTCCCAGACACTGGATTCTTCCCTGCTCAGCTTCCCTCTTAAGTAATTAGTGAAGCCCAGGAGATGAGCAGTGCTGAAGGGAGCTTTGCATACCTGGGAGGGAATAATGCTTTTATTTTGGGGGCCTTGCTGCCAGAGGATTTCATCCAAGTTCAATAAAAGCCAGGGTTTATTTAGACAGAATTGGAACAATCCGAACCACAGGGTGGGGATCCGTTTCTAATCCCCCTGCCCATCCGTATAATGATATAAGATTTAGCTAAAGCAACCTATTAGAATAGACAATAGCCACATATTTCCAGTGGCTGATTTTCTGAATGCTCAATCCTGGTTTAACTTTCAAAATCCAGTACAGAGCAAATTAAGAGTCTTCATTCAACCTCTTTCTTCTAGTAGATTTTTAAAATAATTATTCTAATTAATTCACAGAGTAAATTCGACTGAGACTCCTAATCTGTTAAGACATTACTGAATTACTCCTGGAAGCCCTAGTTACTCACACAGGCTCATTGTAAGCACCTCAGCCTCTCATATAATAGACCAAATGATTCAACTTTACCTGAATAAATTCCTAAGTACCAGTTAAGATCTAGCTTCTTGGTTACATTTCCTCCTCCATTTACAGTGACATTTAGCGTACTTTGTTGGTTTGCCCTGTGGAACATGGGGAGAAAAAAATATTAAGCTATATATGGAATTTAGAGAAATACCTTTTTTAAAAAAATGAACCACAATTTGAGAGAAATGCTTTATGCTGGAAAATGATTCTCAACTCATATAGTCCTGTGTGTATCTACCTCATAAAAATTCAATTTAAATCACGACTTTCAGTTCCCGAAACTGTCTGTGAACATGATGCCGCGGATCAGACATGGGTGGAGACCACCACAGGTTACACTCCACCAGCAAGCACTCTAACTTTTCTTCGGGTAAACTAAGTGAGGATTAGAAGAGAAGGATCAACAAATATCTCCCCCTAACTCTGCGGAAAAGCGAGTCTTCTTATTGATGTTTGACTATTTTATACGTCAGAAATAACTTACCAGTACGAAAGCCACCAATCTTGAAGAACATAGGCAACCTAGGAGGTGAGAAACAACAAAGACAAAAATCAAACTTGGGCATGACTTACCAACTCAAAACTCTCAATCGCTAACATGGACAATCGAAAGAAAGCCCTCAAAGCCGTGCGTGGTGGCTCATGCTTGCAACCCCAGCACTTTGGGAGGCTGAGGCAGGCGGATCAACTTAAGGCCAGGAGTTCAAGACCAGCCTGGCCAACATAATGAAACCCTAGGTCTACTAAAAATACAAAAATGAGCTTAGCCAGGCATGGTGGCACATGTGCCTGTAGTCCCAGCTACTCCGGAGGCTGAGATAGGAGAACTGCTTAAACCCGGAAGGCGGAGGTTGCAGTGAGCCAAGATTGCGCTACTGCACTCCAACCTGGGCAACAGTGCAAAACTCCGTCTCAAAAAAAAAAAAAAAAAGAAAAGAAAAGAAAAAAAGAGAAAAAGAAAAAAAATAGAAAGAATAAAAAGCTCAGAGAACTTGCATAGTTCTTCCAGCTCAGGTCTACACTGAGCCCAAACTCCCAGATATCAAGAACTCAAGAAAACGCATGTTCCATTTTAAAATCATTGAAAGATACCCTTTTTTTTCCGCAGAAGGTCTTTGTAATGGGACACCACTAGGCAGCCCTCACTTTGTTCCCCAAAGACAGCACATTTCAATTCAGATCCCAAGTGAACTGCAAGATGCAGTCAAAATAGCATAAACATAGGTACTGTAAATATCATTTTGAGGGCATAAAATAAATGTCATTATTTACCTGAGCTGCAGTGTTTAGGAGAATAAGGAAAATGATGACAATCCAGTGAGCGCCAGCTCTGAAGTAATTCTTATAGGCCTGAAAACCAACTTTTCCTTCAGAACGGTTCTCGTCTGAGAGTGTAACTGGGACATTCTCCGTCTGCAAAGGAAAGGGTGGTAAGAGACAAAATCATATACAAAACTGTTCCCAAAGATGACAATGCACTCTGTTGACAAAGCTGTGGGGAAACAGGCAGAAGTCCAAAATGATCCATCTCCTGTGGAGAAGGGTGTGGAAATATCCAGCCAAACTATACATGTACTTACTTTTTATTTATTTAATATTTTTTGAGACGAAGTTTCGCTACTGTTGCCCAGGTTGGAGTGTAGTGGAGCGATCTTGGCTCACTGCAACCTCTGCCTCCTAGCTAGGTTCAAGCGATTCTCCGGCCTCAGCCTCCTGAGTAGCTGGGATTACAGATGCCTGCTACCACGCCTGGCTAATTTTTGTATTTTTTAGTGGAGACAGGTTTTCACCGTGTTGGCCAGGCTGGTCTGGAACTCCTGACCTCAGGTGATCCTCTTGCCTCAGCCTCCCAAAGTGCTGGGATGACAGGCATGAGCCACCACGCCCAGCTACATGCACTAATCCCTGGACTCAGCCATCCCACTTTCAGGGTTCTACTAGAGGTAAGGAAGTATCATTTGTACACTGTGGCATGGCTTGCTGGCAGGATGACATCAGAATGTCCAGCACTTACCGAGCACATCCAAATTCAAGTATACATACAGAAACTTGTTCCAAAATCATGTACAGAAAGATATGGAACTCTCAACTGCATCACTCAATATGGAAGCATAAAAGAGAAGGTCAAAACATGAGCTCAATACAGTAACTGGGTTCAAGCAGTGAGTCTGAGTAACCAGAGTTTGGAAAGCAAGGGAGAGCATACGATCCTAATCTGTTTGGTTCCTGAGTTTCAGAAATTGACTCCTGAGAATTTGGCATGTGAGGGCCTAATCTGAATATCTGCAAGAATCCTTCAGGCTCCTGGATTTGGATAGTGAGGGTTAGTGTGGCAAGGAATATCTATGTTTTCAAGTGAGCTCTGGTACATTTCTGCCTGGAGGACTTAGAAGGCATGAGATTCACATACTCTGAGGATGTACTGAGCAGCTCTATTTTGGCCACTGGGAATACCAAGATGAGTAAGACGCAGCTCCTACCCTTGAAAGGTAAAGAAGGAAGATGGGCTGCTGTGTGTCAGGAACTGTTGGGTCTTTGCACGTGCTACTTCTAGCCTAACATAAACCATCTGACAACAGGGCAAAATACCTCCATCAGCCACGTGCAGCGTCAGAACATTCCAACATATAGGAAAAGTGGCTAACTTTATGTGGCCCACAGCAGGACTTTCTCTAAGGTGGTCTTCAAATTATGCCTCCGGATGCAAAGAGAAGTCGGGGGCCACCAGACTAAGTAGGACTTCACTACAGTAAATTCAAGAATTGTAATATTAGCGTGAGTCACACACAGCTTGGGACTTGCACCAGTACACACACCTGCTACTCATCTCCATGACATTCCCCAGCCTACACGCAAAGGATCACTCCAACCAGAGTTGTTTGCCTTGGTTCTGTTTTAATCCACCAATATCACGGAACAGGGCCTTGAAACCACAGAATCTACTTTGGAACAAAAGACGATGCTTCAAACAGAGGAGACTAAAGATCCATAAGGCCATTAGCAGTCAACAAAACCAGGCCGTGTTGTAACAGGAGGTAAACTCACATCTTGGGTCTCCACAGCACCATCTTTCAAGGAGGGTCTAGAAGATTGTTGAGACCAAACCGAAGACTCTGAGAAGGTGCGATTCCTCAGCGTGGGAGTTTCTGGAACTGGAAGTTGTTCGCTTTCCTCGTTGTCCTTCTTCAAAAGGGAGCCAAAATCTATACCAGATTTTAGGAACTCAGTGTAAGTCCCCTTCTGCACCATTTTACCCTAAAATAAAAATAAAGAATTTCAGAGAGATACATTTGCAGGTGATAATGTTAACCTAATCTAATTCTAATCCAGAAAAGGTAACTGATCTTAAATTATGATTATACTTAGGTCTGGAATCCTAGTTGACAAATCTAATACAATTCAACCTGATACACAACCGGGTGCTCTGTTCTCAGCCAGGGCCCATGTTAGGTACTGAAGAATATTTTTTAAATGGTAATAGTGTGTTGCAAATGGCGATCATTATCACATAGATGTTGGTGACCGTATCGGTAGTCTTATTACACATGAAAAACTGAGACAAGCCTTATGCAATAAGAACTGAAGGAATGAGTAAATTGAGAAGGATATTCCAGGAAAGAAACCTAACACTGATAGGGAGGTAGGACCAGGCATATCTGCACAGGTAGGAAGCACTCCACAAGCCTCCACTGGCCACGGGCCCTGCTGGAAAAAGGTGTGAGAACCAGACTTGGACACAGACCCCATGAGCTGCACCTTCATGGTCTTTACTCTAAAACTGCCCCACAGGCCAGGTGCGGTGGCTCACACCTGAAATCCCAGCACTTTGGAAGACCAAGGCGGGTGGATCACCTGAGGTCAGGAGTTTGAGACCAGCATGGTCAACATGATGAAACCCCACCTCTACTAAAAATACAAAAAAATTAGCCGGGCACCTGTAATCCTAGCTACTCGGGAGGCTGAGGCAGGAGAATCACTTGAACCCAGAAGGCGGAGGTTGCAGTGAGCAGAGATCGAGCCACTGCATTCCAGCCTGGACGACAAGAGCAAAACTGCATCACATACATACATACATACATACACACATACATACATACATAAATGCCCCAAAGACTCAGGGAATTCCTAACTGAAAATTCAACATTCCACGGGACACCTCCTTGCACAGTTTTCTCTCCTTACAAAGTCATAGAAAATAATGTACAAATATCTTCACTATTTGTGTACCCCATGAAATGAGATACCTCATGAAATGAGACCCAACTGATTTCCTCAAACAGCAGCAAACATAATATTAGGCAAACTCCCAGAATACAAATCAAAGGAGAGGAGCTCCTGGCTAAGGCAAGTCAGGTGGGGGAAGGTGGCCAGGACCCTCCCTGCTACCCCAATCCTCCCCACCCCCAAAAAGGTGGGTCCACTGAGGAAAATCCAATGACCCCTTGGGCCCTCTGGACCAGTTTGATAACTGGAGAATTTGAAAATGCTTCATAATATATTGAGTCTCCTTCCACATAGGAGGTAAAAGTGACACACCTCGTTTGATGAAATGACCACTTTTCACATAGTATCTGTAAGACGCACAAGGAAACTCCTACTGGTACTAGGATGGCAATTTTCCTCAGAAGCCAAGTACTCACAAGCAATGCAGAGTGGGTTCCGAGGGGCAACCGTGCTCTGTCTGCTGTTAGGGAGGGGGCTGGGACGACAGCAAGAACGGACACATATTCATCCTGGGTGCCCACCAGTGGAAAAATGGTTTGTGTGTGTGTGTGGTAGGATCTCATTCTGTTGCCCAGGCTGGAGTGCAATGGCACGATTTCAGCTCACTGCAACCTTCGCCTCCCGGGTTCAAGTGATTCTCCTGCCTCAGGCTCCTGAGTAGCTGGGATCACAGGCATGCGCCACCACGCCCAGCTAATTTTTTTGTATTTTTGGTAGAGACGGGTTTTCACCACGTTGGCCAGGTTGGTCTCGAACTCCTGACCTCAAGTGACTCCCCCTAACACCTCGACATCCCAAATTGCTGGGATTACAGGCATGAGCCACTGCACCTGGCCAGATGGTTGTTTTGGAGAAAGGTTATTCTGCCACCCACAGATTTTACTCTAATGTACCAGCATTCAGGTTTTGCCATACTAGTCTTAGCCCTCTGCATGAGAAATTAATTGTTTTCAACTTTGAGGAACCCAGGCTCCCCAGGGGAAGAGCCAGCACACGGAACTGCTTCTGAAAAGGCAGCAGTTCTTCCTTCGATAATCCTCTTAAGGGTGAGAATTCACTTGCCGGGACTTCGGTGGACAGATTCCTCACTGTTCTTTAAGCAGCAAGGAGAGACTTACACACAAAGACTTGCAAGAGCTTTGCTATCATTATATACCCCGTTTGTTGCAATAATGTGAAATTTATCTAAGAGCTCTGCTATCATTATATACCCCATTTGTTGCAATAATGTGAAATTTCTCTCCCTTGGAGAATGGTGCACACAGATCTTATAAAATATAATTAACACTCATTTTTGTTACTTCCATCATTTTATTAAGAAATTGCGGGAGGAGAAACATTAAAACATTTGAAGACACTAAGGGGGTTTCAGACCTACAACGAGGAATTTGACCAGGGCCTGGAACAGAGCAAGGGTTAAGGACCAGGTTACTGAGGCGAGAGGCAACGAGCCAAGGAGTGATGCATGAAACCACCACTGGGCTGAGAAGTTCTCACTAACCTCCATGTCCCCGGCCACGCTAGCTCTTCTTGGTTGAATGGTGACCCTCTAAAAAGATATGTTCAAGTCCTAAACCCTGTTACCCGTGAATGTGGCCTTTGTTTTGTGAAACAGGATCTTTGCAGATACAATCAAGACAAGATAAGGTTATACTGGACTAGAGTGGGCCCTAGGTCCAATGACTGATATCCTTACAGGAAGAAAGCCAGACAGACACAGCAACAATGCCATGTGACAACAGAGGCAGAGACTAAAGGGCTGCACTGCCAGCCAAGGATCAACTATGAGTGCCAGCAAAACCTCAGAAAGTGGGAGAGGCGAGGAAGGATTCTCCCCTGAAGCCTTCATAGAGAGCATGGCCCTGCGGACACCTTGATTTTGGACTTGTAGCCTCGGAACAGTGAGACAAAACATTTCTGTTGTTTTAAGCTGCCAAATGTGTGGCACTTTGTTCTGGCAGCTCTAGGAAACTGACACACTAGACTAAGCCCTTATTTCTGTCTTGTGAGCTACTAAGACTTCAAATTACTTCTGCTGTAGCTCCCCTAGCAAACAACAAAGGGGATCTCTTAAAATCAGAGATCAAACCATGTCACTCCACTGCTCAGTTATCCACCTGTGTGGCTGCTATTATCATTATTTTATTTTTATTTTTTTGAGACAGAGTCTCACTCTGTCGCCCAGGCTGGAGTACAATGGCATGATCTCAGCTCACTACAACCTCCACCTCCCGGGTTCAAGAGATTCTCCTGCCTCAGCCTCCCGAGTAGCTGGGACTACAGGTGTGCCCCATCATGCCGGGCTAATTTTTTTGTATTTTTAGTAGAGACGGGGTTTCACCATGTTGGACAGGCTGGTCTTGAACTCCTGACCTCAGGTGATCTGCCTTCCTCGGCCTCCCAAAGTGCTGGGATTACAGGTGTGAATCACTGTGCCCAGCCATTTCTGCTACTAATAGAAGAGGAGCTTTAGGCAAATTATGCATGACAATTAAATGGATACAAACAGGTCTGAGTATCTGTAATTTCCAAATAACGTAATTTGAATTAAGTCACGGAAGAGGTAAACAAAAAGTTCTAAATTAAACTAGCATCATTTTCTTTAACAATGTAGTAATCTTGAGGTAGCAATTTACATACTTTACGGTAATATGGCTTAGCATGTAATAATGACATTTCTACAAGTCTTTTGAGTTAATACTCAAAAACATGAATCCCAGCTCTGAGAAGAAAGGGACATGAAATGCAGGAAGAAGAAGGGGATTCAACACACCTGAGTACTTGCAAGTTCAGGAGATCTCTAGAAACTACTTACATCTTTCAATATCAGAATCTGACTTGCAGCTTTGAGGTACTGCAACTGATGAGTCACTAAAATTGTGATCTTCTCATGCAAAGTTTGACAAATACACCTATAAATGTAAAAGGCACAGGGTGAAAACACACACGAATGGGGTGCTCCACATTGAAAAACATACATTTTGAAGCTATAGTCAAAGACAACACAGTAGTCAAAGATCTAGAGGTTAAATACAAACTAAATAGAAATATAAGCCAATAAAGCCGGCTAGGTCCTCAAAACCACTAGCAGCAAATATGAGCCTTGCTGTGAAGAAATCCTAAATACTTGTCTGGGAAGGAGGCAATAAGTATAATTTTTTTTTTCTAAAACTTAGTTTAAGAATATATTCCAGGATGAAAAACGACTGAACAATATAGAGATTCAAAAACCTGACTTAACTAAAACATTAATTATTTTACTACTGTGTAGGATTGCAGGGGAGAAAGAAAGATCAAGGTCATGTAATGACACAGCATTTTTCTTGGACGGTTTCTTAGATGATAATTTATAATGCACATATTAATGCCCCCCAACGCCCCCAAAAAAGCTTAGATTCTTGGTAACTTTTGCCAGAGTGCATTTGCCAGACTCTTCTTCCCAAATAATAATAGGGAGGAAAACAAATGCTAGTGATGTGTGACTCTCCACAGTATTCTTGGTCTCATCCAGGAAGCAAAACTTCTCTCATTAGTCCTAAACAGTCTGAATAAGAAAATGGAAGAACAGAATCCAAACAGTCCAAACCATATGGCTCAAAGATAAGACCCACCTCGGTATTCAACCATCAAGTTTTCTGGGGTTTGTTTGTTTTCTACAGTACCTGCTCAAAGTTCTCCTGCATTGTAAATGCAGAATCCTGGGAGCTACAAAAAAAATGAGCCGGGTGTGGTGGCACACACCTGTAGTCCCAGCTACAAGGGAGGCTAAGGTGGGAGAATCACTTGAGCCCAGGAGGTTGATGCTGCAGTGAGCTGTGATCACACCACTGCACTCCAGCCTGGTTGGCAGAGTAAGACCCTGTCTCAAAAAGAAAAAAAGGAGAGGAAAAAAAAAAAAAAAAAAGAAAAGCACTAATCTGTAACAATGGCCAAGAACATAACTCATGCCCAGTAAGTGTTAGCCCTGTCGTCCAATCTTCCCCATATGCAGCCATTGCTTTTAGAAATTCAGGATTGAGAAGTCATAAGCGAGTATCATAGAGACAGCGCCTGTGATCAGAACCGCAACTCCAGATTGCAGATATGTAAACTATCACTTCATCCTTTACATCCAAAAGGATTAATTTTTCCCCTTTCAGGTATCCTAGTTTGGCTTATTTCAAAACTAAGTTTCACAACCTATTATATCCCTCTTCAGGTTTAGTACTAAAGCTTTTAATGAAACTGTTTCCCTTTATTTCAAAATTGGCTGCCATTAATCCCTTTATATACATATCTGAAGGGAGATGTTAATGATCAAATCTGATGGGGTGCTATGCCCAGTATCAGCCACCTCAAAGGTTTCAAAATGTTTTCTTCCTAGCATCTTCCATTGTAGATGAGACATAGAAATAATTACACTAACATTGTAATTGATGGCTTGAAATTTTTTTCTAAATTATGCTTCTTAGGCAAATCTCAAAAAATACTTTCCAAATTTTTAAGAGTAAAAATCTTCCAGTCATGCCATAAAACAAACAAATAATAAGTGATAGATTTAGCAACGAGCTATTGAACACTATATAAAGACTACGGTAAGAGGCCAGGCACGAGGGCTCACGCCTATAATTCCAGCACTTTGGGAGGCTGAGGCAGACAGATCACTTGAGGTCAGGAGTTCGAGATCAGCCTGACCAACATGGTGAGATCCAATCTCTACGAAAAATACAAAAATTAGGTGGATGTGGTCACGCATGCCTGTAATCCCAGCTACTCGAGTAGCTGAGGCACAAGAATCACTTGAACTCAGGAGGTCTGCACTGATCCAAGATCGTGCCACTGCACTCCAGCCTGGGCAACAGAGCAAGACTCTGTCTCAAAAAGGAAAAAAAAAAAAAAAAAGACAACATTAAGAGCTGACACATACAATGTCAGAGGTGACACAAGTAAGAAAGATATAGTCGGTTGGGTGCAGTGGCTCGCACCTATAAACCCAGCACTTTGGGAGGCCAAGGCAGGAGGATCTTTTGAGCCCAGAAATTCAAGGCCAGTCTGGACAACATAGAGAGATTCCATCTCTACAAAAAACTCGAAACTTAGCCAGGTGTGGGGGTGTGTACTTGTAGTCCCAGCTACTCGGGAGGATCACATGAGCCCAGGAGGTAGAAGTTGCAATGGGCCATGATCATGCCATTGCACTGCAGCCTGGGTGACAGGGCAAAACTCAGGAAGGAAGGAAGGAAGGGAGGGAGGGAGGGAGGGATACAGTCACTACCTTCATTCATTCAGTTAAGACACATTTGCTGAGCACTGACGAAGTACCAGGGACTACTCTAAGTGATGAGGATACATCTACTGGTCAAGCAAACAGACAACACCCTGCATCGTGTAGGGACACTCACTACACAAACACAGAAAATACACTATTGGGTAGTAATGTAAACCATGAAGAGACAGCCAGGCAAAGGTTGTACTTTAGAGGGAGTGGCCAGGAAAGGCCTCTCTGCAAGGAGGTGGTGTACAAGCCATGAGACTATCTGGGGAAGCAATCCTGGCAGACACAGCAGGTGCAATGGTCCTGGGGCACAAACGCGCCATGCAAAGGCACCTTCATGCATTCACAGTCTAGTGCAGGGGCTGGGGGGAAGGACACATAGGTGGATCAAGAGCAGCTCATTGAGGGCTGTGGACAGACAGAGAAAGTGCTATGGCCTCCGAGGAGCTGAAGAGAAAGGCAGGAGGTAGGATCTGTGTCTTTCATTTTTCTCTTTTGCCCAGGCATACTATCCCTGGTTCTCCAATGGCAGGAACAATACCCTTACAGACAGGCAGATGTGAGAAAGTCATACCTCCTTCCAGACACCCCACAGAAGTGTGCATGGCTGGAGGACTGGTCTTGCGTGGGCAAGGGCTGGAAAGGTGAATGGGGCGGACTGCAAAGGGCAATTTGCCATTCGAGGACTTAGAACCATAGCTTAAAAGTACAGGAGTCCGAGAGGAACTAAAAGAGGGAAGGTGAACTAGTGCTGTGCCTGAATGTTTGTGGCCCTCTCCAAATTCCTACTGAACCCTAATCCTAACCAATGTAATGGTATTAGGAGGTGAGGCCATTTCATGAGAATCTGCCAACACGAATGGTATTAGTAAAAGGGGCCAGCCCAGGGAAGCTGCCGTACCCCTTCCACAGTGAGAAGACAGTTGTCTACGAACCAGAGCGTGAGCCCTCTCCAGGCACCAAAACTGCTGGCGCCTTGATCTTGGATCTCAGCCTCCAGAACTGTAGAAACAGTTTTCTATTGTTTATATGGAGTACCGAGTTTATGCTATTTTGAATCAGCAGCCTGAATGGACTAAGACAAATAGGTAGGCAACAGTGTGGGAGCTCTGATTAGGAGACTCAAAGGGGCAGGGGTCTGAGAATTTGAGGCTTTCTAGAATACAGCCACATCTACAGCTGGCAACAAATCGGATCAGCATCTGTTAATGGAAGTGCCCCTCACTTTTTGTATGTGATAAAATCCACTTCGTGTTTGCCACATATAGTTGTAAAACACAACTCTTAACAACTCTCAATATATATTCATGATCGAAGTAAAACTGTTAATGGCAAATAGAAGTGTAATTCATTCACTTTTAATACAAAACACTTCACATTTCTAAGCTTCAACACAACCGCCATCTTTCATAGCATATTGTTCAATCCAATTTTCTAACTCGTTGAGAACATTCTCCAGTTGCTGCTGAGTGATTTCCTAAATTGCATTCGTGCTCCCTGTCCTAAGTTTCCCCAAAGAATGTGATTCTGATTAGCAAACAACAATTTTAACAAGCTTGCTTCTAACAAGTGTATATCCAAAGTCATTAATCCTTAAAGGTGCAAGAGGACTTTATAAATACCTCCTGCGTTCAAGGAAAATTTGGGGGAGCTTGTGCGATGCGCACACTGATACTCAGCAATAAAAATACCTTCCTCCTTCCCTGCGGCGAAACTAAGAGAGTGTCCCACTGGGAATTGTTGTTCGAGTGATAAAGAACTGGTGGGGACTCGTGCAAGACTCGAGCAAGCCACAGAGGCCCTTCTCGGCCAAATGGAAAATTCATCAAGGCACAGGGAGGAGGGAGCAGGAAACAAGGCTCTGATCAGAGTGCCGGGGCAATGCCGAGTGCCAGCTTATCCCTCACTCTGCATTCAGAAAGATTCAGTGCTGCCACCCACATCTCTTTGGTTGTGGAAAAATAGACATGACATAACATTTACCGTTTATACCATTTTTAAGTGTATAGCTTGGTAGCGCTAAGTACGTACACACCGTTGTGCAACCATCACCACCATCCACATCCACTTCAACATCCCATACCAGGCACATTTTGCACACGCACTCTGGTGGGGAAACATTCAGGAGCCCACGTAGAGCCCCATGCTCAGTGGATGACTTCATGTCCCAACCCCCGGAATCCAGAGCCCAGAGATGAGTTAGTCTCACACAGCCGACTCTGTCTCCGCTTTGCTATCCAGGACCTGTTATGGACTGAACCATGCCCCCCTCAAAGTTCCTATGTTCCAGCCCTAACCCAGCACCTTAGAACTGGAATAGAGAACCATTATTATTATTATTATTATTATTATGACAGAATCTCACTCTTGTTGCCCAGGCTGGAGTACAATGGCACTATCCTGGCTCACTGTAACCTCCACCTCCTGGGTTCAAGCAATTCTCCTGCCTCAGCCTCCGGAGTAGCTGGGATTACTGGCGCCCACCACCACCCATCCCTGATTTTTGCATTTTTAGTAGAGATGGGGTTTCACCACGTTGGCCAGGCTGGTCTCGAACTCCTCAGGTGATCTGCCTGCCTCAGCCTCCCAAAGTGCTGGGATTACAGGCGTGAGCCACAGTGCCTGGCCGACACAGAACCTTTAGAGAGGTAATTACACTGAAATGAGGCCATGAGGGTGGGCCCTACTCTAATCTGACTGGTGTCTCTTCAGGAAGAGGAGGTTTGGATGCAGAGACGTGAGGAGCAAAGGGTGAGAAGGCGACCATCGGCAGGCCAAGAAAGCCCTCGGGAGGAGCCGCGCCTGCAGACGCATTGATCTCGCACATGCAGTCTCCGGAACTGTGCGGAAACAACCTGCCGCTGTGTAAGCCCCCCAGCCTGTGGCATTGTGAGGGCAGCCCTGGCTGGCCAACACAGGACTTCCAGAGCTTTCTTTCACAGTATCTTCTCTATCCCCCACCACAGGAACAGGTTCCTGCCTGCTGTCCTTCCCACAGGCCTCACTCCTTCCTGTCTGCACACCTCTGCTTCTACTATTTCTTTCAAAAGAACTGAATCCTACTCTCAGCCACTATAAACCCTTACCAGCCTGCAGGACCACAGGCTACTTCCAGCCAAGTCTGGCCCTCAGTGACCTTTCCAATCTTAGCTACCCACTTCTTCCATTTAAAAAAATTGATTGTCCTATGCCGGGCGGAGGGGCTCACGCCTGTAATCCCAGCACTCCGGGAAGCCAAGCGGGACAGATCCCTTGAGCCCAGGAGTTCGAGACCAGCCTGGGCAACATAGGGAGACCAGCCTGGACAACATGGCAAAGCCCCCTCCCTTCAAAAAAAACACAGAATGAGGCATGGTGGTGCTAGCCTGTAGTCACAGCTACCTGGGAGGCTGAGGCAAGAGACTCTCTTGAACCCAGGAGGTCGAGGCTGCAGCGAGCCGAGATTGCACCTGCTCTCCAGCCTGAGTAACAAAGCGAGATCCTATTTTAAAAAACAATAATAATAAAATAGATTGTCCTATATTGAAATTCCTTAAGCCTTGGGGTCTGTTGAACTTTTCCTATGCACTTAGTCTTGAATCCCTGCAGAGACAAATTCCTTATGGGCAAGAATGAAATCTGAACTTGTCTCTCTCTCTCTCACTCAGCCCAGCATGGGTGCTTATCTTCTCTGTGGCTGACTGCCATCCTCTGCAAGCAAAGACGTTTCATGCACTAACATCTGGAGGAGCATCTACCTCAGTGTGCACAGAAGGGCTACAATGAGTGGGATAGGCTCATTGGCCTTAACAAGGCAAAAAACAGGAAGCTGACTGTGGGGCAGATGTGGGTGCCGTTTTAGAAAAACCAGTTCACAATGCTTTCAAAAAGGCCAGTCTAGACTACATAGGAAGTGTCAGTCGGCACACATGAGGTTACAGAATATACAGAAAAGATTCCAGAGTCATTCTACCTCCACGGCTCCGTGTCTAAGCAAGAGCCAAAGAAAGCAAATCCCAGAAACACCACGTAAGAGTCGGGAGGGAAGCCAGATTCTAGACAGCTAGTTTCAAAGGCAAGCCAGGCCTACATGAGTCTTCAGTGTTCATTCTGGTAAGAATCCATGAAACAACATTAGATTCTTGAAACCACAGTCTACCATGGAGCAAATCATTCTTAAATTCTAGATTTTACTAGTAGGTTATCTCCAAACTGATAGATTAATATGTAAAGAGCAACAAAGCCTTCCCAAGAAAGCCCTATGTTGGTCCCAAGGACCTCACTTCTAACCTGTCATAGAGAAATGATGGAGGAAAAGAGCTGAAAGACAAGGCCCAGGTTGCCAAGTGCCACCCTTTCATTGAAAAATGGCACACCATCTTTCCTGTCTCCAGGGCCTGGTCCATCAGCAGTTTCTTGGTTATTAACTGTAATTACTAGTTGGGGAAAATTTGCAAAATTTGCCATCTGTTTCTCAATTCCCGAAAACATGGTACACTCCACTCACTGCAACACACTGAAATCATTTGTATATTTTCCTATCTTGACCTTGTATTTATGCAAAATTTCTCTAAAATGGATCTTCAGGGAAGCAGGGGACAGTGCGGAGGGGGAGGGGGAGCACCAGAGCAGGACAAGCTGAAAGCCATAAAGGCTTTCCTGAGCCAACTCGAAATGGCTCTGGGAAAGCAGAAATGACTTAAGACACAAACAAACTCACAGTTCGAATAAGTGCCTGCTAACTTCCGCATCCACTGCACTGAGAGGATCGTCCAGGAGATAGATGTCAGCATCTTGATACACTGCTCTAGAAAATATAAAGAGATATCAGACTCTCACCCAGAACATGATAACTTTCAACAACTAGGATGTTCATTCAAGTGCCAGTAGAATAATCCAAGAAAGTGCTTCACACAGGACGCAATACACAGTAAGCGGGTCCTATGTGCTCACCACCATTAGAAGCAGCACAAAAGACAACTGCATAGTGGCTGCTGAAATGCAACTTACCTTGCAAGGTTTACCCGCGCTTTCTGCCCTCCACTCAGCGTGGTTCCCCGATCTCCTATCACAGTCAGATCACCATCCTCCAACAGCTGTAAATCCTATATGGACAAAGGAAAGAAGGTGGGAAAAAAAAGACTTAAAACATGTTCTCCCTCTGTTATCCTAAACTTTGCACATTAGTTCTTCAGAAATAAACAAGTATTTGATCAACAGCAATGGATATATTTCATAGGAACTAAATTGTAACTTTGAACCTATCAAATACACCATCAGGGCACGTTATCTGTTTTAATGCTGTAGCTTTTCATAGCATTTACGCACTGAGCCATTTTAACAGGAATGTTTTGAGTGCCAACTCCTTGTGAATTCAGCAGTGAAAGAGTTTCCACAGTGAGTGACCTGACAATAAAAGATTGACACAAATGCAAGAGGTGATAAGTGCTAAGAAGGAAAAGGAAGCTGGCTTAGGGAGACAGAGAGTGACAGAGGGAAAGTCCACTTCATATAGGGAGGTCAGCAAGGGCTCTGATCGAGGGGGTCTGAGCAGAGACCTGCCAGGGGATGGACTGGCTGGCACAGAGTGCAGGAAGATTGCTCCACATAGAGGAATAAGCAAGTGCAAAAGCCATGGGGTGATACGTGGCCAAGGTGCTCACAAAAGAGCAATACGGATGCCCGCAGAACTGTGAGCACAGGATGAGGACAGGAGAGGCCAGAGACAGGCAAGAGAAGCCAAGGGCTCACACCCAGGGAAATAGGAGGAAGGACATGATCTGATCAAGGCAATAACTGAGACAAGAAACAATAGTAGCTGGGACCAGAGTGGGGATCAGGCAAGCAAACATCAGTGGTCATGTGCTGAACAAATTTTAAAGGTAGCACCTATAGGCTCTGCTGATGAGATGGGTGTGTGTTCTGACAGAAAAAGAGGAGGACTGCATTGGTTTTGGTATAAGACAAGGGAAGAACAGGATTACCATGTACTGAGCTGCGGGAAATGAGGGATGCAGATGTAAGAGACAAAAGCAAAAGGTTGATTATGGCCAAACTGAAATGTTGACCGGCAATCCTGACTTGCTGCTGGATAAGTGAGTCTGGAGGTCTGTGCTGGAGACCCAACTGTGAGGGCTGTCAGCATACAGACATGGGACTTATTAAGGAACAACTGTGTCTTCACAAGCCATTTTGCTGACTTTTACCTTAGCTTTCCATTCTCAGAGAAGCGATAACACCCGCCCCATCTTCACCGTGATACTTAAGGCATCACAATAGACTGACAGAAAAACTCTGCAAAAAATAAGAGCAGAAAGAGCAGCCCAGCCAGGAAAAGCCAAAGGGAAAGGAGCAGTGTGCTCCTGAGACACTGCACAGACTGGATGCACGAAGTAGACTCTTGTTCCATGCAAGCCCCCAGAAAACAAAAGCTAGGAAGGATAACAAGGTTTTATTTGAGGATCTAGCCAAAGTTATATTTAAAAATTATTTAAGAAATAAGTTGACAAAGCATAATACTTTAAAAAAAAAAAAAAACATGACAAGAACATCCCTGAAAATAACAGGATAATGATCAGGTTTAAGTTACATGACATTACATTAGAAATCTTTACTTGGGGCTGGGTGTGGTGGCTCACGCCTGTAATCCCAGCAGTTCGGGAGGCCGAGACGGGTGGATCATGAGGTCAGGAGATCAAGACCATCCTGGCTAACATGGTGAAACCCCATCTCTACTAAAAATACAAAAAATTGGCCGGATGTGGTGGCGGACGCCTGTAGGTAGTCCCAGCTACTCAAGAGGCTGAGGCAGGAGAATGGCGTGAACCTGGGAGGCGGAACTTGCAGCGAGCCGAGATTGCGCCACTGCACTCCAGCCTGGGGGACAGAGAGAGACTCTGTCAAAAAAAAAAAAAAAGAAAACTTTACTTGGATGGCCTATAATTATCACTAGACAGATCCTGGCATAAACAAACGAAGTGTGGAGAAGATCGCTGGGTACTGACTGAGCTTCATAAGCATCAACCTAGGACACTACAGAGATAGCCCTCTTACAGATCAACATGTCACTTCTTTGTCTCTACTCTGACAAAGCCAGGGAGACAAAGCAAATGGCACATTGAGACCTCCATGACAAGTAAGTCCTCTGACCTCCCTAAGTTCTCATTTTATCTCTTTTACAAAATGTCCTAGAGAAACAAGAATTAATCAACTCATAGAATGCTGAAACAATCTAAAGTAAGTGTATGAACTAAGTGGAAACAGGATCTGAGTTCTTTATAATTTGCTATTGATGACTATGACATATTTTCTGATCAAACCAACAGCAGGACCCCATTCATAGCATGAATCTCACTAAATAAAGTACATCACCAAATGGAAAAAAGATAGTATCTCCATTGGAACCCACTCCCTGTCAGCCCACAAAGACACACAGGAGTCCCCTAAAACTCCAATCTGAACCAGATGGCATCAAATGAAAGATAGCAAGTGCCCCGTTATGAAAATTCATTATTTCACATTATCTCTTTGTTGAGCTCAGAAGTTACACTATCTCTTCCTTTCAGTTTTCATAAAAAGACAATGCAGCCGGGCACATGGCTCACACCTGTAATCCCAGCACTTTGGGAGGCCGAGGCAGGTGCATCACCTGAGGTCAGGAGTTCAAGACAAGCCTGGCTAACATGGTGAAACCCTATCTCTACTAAACATACAAAATTAGCCAGGCATGAGGCATGTTGGCACATGCCTGTGATCCCAGCTACTTGAGAGGCTAAGGCAGGAGAATCGCTTGAACCTGGGAGGCAAAGGTTGCAGTGAGCGAGATCGTGCCACTGCGCTCCAGCCTGGGCAACAAGAGTGAAACTCCAACTCAAAAAAAAAAAAAAAAATACAAGGCACCAGTTAACACTATCTCTTCCTTTCAGTTTTCATAAAAAGACAATGCACCATTTTAAGACAGGGTTCCAGCCTTCCACACAAACACAAATACACATTGTTTACTTGGCCTCATTCCATTGCTGATTGTCTTCATATAATGTGTTAAGTTTCTGTGCCTTGATTTTACATTGTTTTGTTTTCATTCTCAAAATAGCATCAAGTCGTAGCACAGCAATCTTAGCCATTTTCTAGAAAAGACACTCAAAATACCTGTCTCATTTCACGCAGACAGGGAATAGGAAAGGAGCTCCCTCCCCATGCCTGGTAGTAGCCCTTTGAGTACTACAACGACCTTGAGTGTTGCTGACTTGGCAAACTATTTATGGACAAGCCTCAGAGAGGGAAAATATTTCAAAGGATCTGAAGTACAATCTGAGTCAGGCTAATTTCCCAACCATGATTTTCTAGTTTGGTTAAAGGGAAACAGTTGAGCAGAAAGCAGAAGTGCCCCCAATGGGAGGAAGGTATCTTATGCACGTTAGGTCCTGCTCAGTAAAATTAACCAATTAATCTACCACCACCTTTACTGAAATGCAGACACAGAAACTAGAGAAAAACCATGACGTGGCTATGTGGGTTGGATGCCATCTCACCGGAATCCTACCATGTGCACATCAACCATGGTGACACCGAAGGCAGAAAGACCACTGAGGACACTGTGGGGACGGTCACAGGGGCCAGGCCTGAGGCCCCAGCACAAGACGCAGGTTCCAGGGTCAGGGAGCAGGGCTCTCCAGCTTTGGGCCACACTTTGCTTCCATTTGGACCAGCCCTTATCATGGCTTATCAATATCCTATTCTTCTTTCAGGGCCCAACTCAAACTCTTCTATGAAACAAACCTGCATTCCCCCAATCAGAAAACATCACTCTCTCTTCTAGGTTCCTTGTTTATATTTCTTAGGAAGGACCCGCCGTATTCTGCCTCTTAATGTTTATGTGTGTACTCAGCGTCTTGCTCCACGAGTCAGCTCCTGGATGTAAGAGCTACGCACCAACCACTGTGCCTGATGCCTGGTATTATCTCTAATCTTCATGACAACCTGCCAAGTAAGTACTGACCACACTTACAGATGAGGAGACAGAGACGAAGTGAGAGCACATAACTGGTCTGAGGACTCTCAGCTAATAAAGGAAGGTTGGAGTCTGAACCAAGCTCATCTCAGTTCACAGCCTGTTGCCCTTTCATATCACGCTTCCCCAAGTGCTTACTAGAAGATACTTAAAGGCAATACTGAAACAACTCAGAACTCGAAGTCTCTCTATCCATACACAGCACTATCAGTCCACTTAGTCACCCTAGTTAGATTCACCTCATTGTATCCCTTTTGTACTCAGCTTTAAAAAAAAAAAAAAAAAAAAAGAGACAGGGTCTGATCTCATACTCCTGGCCTCAAGCAATCCTCCCACCTCAGCCACCCAAAGTACTGGGATTACAGGTGTGAGCCACCATGCCCGGCCCTCGGCATTTATTTCCTATTACGTCACAAAGAAGTGATATGGTTCTCCCAACTGAGAGATTAACAACAACAAAAAAAAGGCATAACAACAGTTATTTTATGATTGTCAAGGCAATCTAAAAAGAAAATGTCCAAGTTGGCAGGAATGTGGCAAATATGAGAAGAAAATTATAAGATAGTGGGGACCCCAAAGGGGTTTGTATATTCAAGCGAGCTATATAGAAAAACATGAAACTCAAATGTATCAATTCCATGCCTTTGGATACTCGTTTCTTAAAAGTGCTCAAGGATTAAAAGAAACTATGCAAAGGGTGACATAATATTAATACGTTGCATCTATTAGGGTAACAATATTTTTATTATTGACTTATTTACTGTACTATGTATAGAACCCCTATATAAATATCAATTCAAATAATGGAAGTTCTATACTCAGATACATTCTTTCAAGCATGTCACATTTCATGTGATTTCACCCAAAATTGGTGGCTCCTATAATTAAGAAGAAGGCCTGTTATGTGCCTAGTAACCAGATGCTTTAAGTTCTTGATTAAATCTTATCCTCACAATAGCCTATGAGGTGAATAGTTTATTATCTCTGTTTTACAGATGACCAAACTGAGGCTTTCTAAGGTTCAGACGATGAGCTAAAATCGCACACCTACTAAAGAGGAACTGAGGCTCCATCCCAGAGTTGTCTGGCTCCAAGGCCTAGGATTTTAACCACTACCCACCTACATATCTAACATCAGTATGTTATTTCCTGAGGTATGTCCTGTCATTTGCTACGATATCACTTTGAATAAGTAAGTAGCCTAAACCAATACTGCTAAATGTGAATTATTGCTTCCTATCTTATTATTTTATCTAAAAGATATTTTTAGCTCAATGAACTTATAAATTCACTTCAGTTGTATCTAGTACAATATATCTAGTTGTTATCAATATATCTGAGCATTCTTGTTATTTCCTATTTTTTCCTCTGGGACTTTTTTTTTTTTTTTTTTTTTTGGCAGTGGAGGGTGGCCGGGATGGGAATGAGGAAGTGTATAAGGCAAAATCATTTATTTATCTTATTAACTGATTTAGAGAAAAGGGCAATAGCTACTATTTAGCAAAAACCTGGCATGTTTGCATTTTACAGACATTGCCTGCAGTCTTCATAATCCTGCTGTATCTCCCCCATTTAATAAGAAATGAAACAGAGGCAAACACCCAGAGACACCCAGGACCATTTCTGTCCAGCAGGTTTTGATTACACACGCAATCTCTGTACCTACAAGCCAAAATAATTCCAGGATTGCTATTTCTATGGCCATCTTACACCCACCATTGACATGTGGATTTGAAAAGGAGTTAGCAAATGGTCTCGTAACTCATTAAGAGGATCCCTGGTTTCTTGCCAGTCCCCTGCTAAACAGTCATAAATGGCAGTTGAGAACGGTAGCAAAACCTCTTGGAAACCATCTCATCCTATGTCCTTATTTCACAGCAGGGACATCAAGGGCCCACGGCAGGTAACATGACATGTCCAAAGTGACACCGAGCTGGTCGTGCATGGTGGCTCATGCATATAATTCCAGCACTTTGGGAAGCCAAGGCAGGTGGATCACTTGAGGTCAGGAGTTCAAGACCAGCTGGCCAACATAGCAAAACCCTCATCTTTACTAAAAGTACAAAAAAGTTAGCCAGGCATGGTGGCATGCACCTGTGATCCCAGTTACTCAGGAAGCTGAGGCAGGAAAATCACTGGAGCCTGGGAAGCAGAGGTTGCAATGAGCCAAGATTACACCATTAGACTCCAGCCTGGGTGACAGAGTGAGACTCTATCTCAAAAAAAAAAAAACAAAAAAAAAACCAAAGTGACAGCGAGCAAATGACAAAGCTAGGCCAGCCTCCTGCTCTGTTCGACTTCTCCACTGGAGGCCCACCGTCCTACCGAGGATGAAACCATGCACGGGGGCCAGCAGTCCGTGCTTACACACATCCAGGAAGGAACCGAGAAGTCACCATGCAGCCCAGCCCCGAGGGGACCCCATTGCCACGCAGAAGCCCACAGGTGCCTGGGACACTGTCCGAGTTACTGGGCCAGTCCTCAAAGGTGGCTATGGCAGAAGCTCAGTGGCAGCCACTGTCCTAACCCCCGCTTTCCCCCCGAGCCTTTCTGACGTGGGGAGGAGCAAGGCAAGTCTGCGTGACCTGGGACCTGGAGTCTCACGTGGGTACCAGAAGCTGAACAGGTAAAAAGGGAAGGTTTGAAAAACATTTTGTCCCACATTCTACCTTTTTATCAATCACCTAACTGTTAAAATAGTTGTACCTTATAAACACTCTCAACTGAGAGGTGGCCTGACAGAGGGGAAATGGAGTCTGGAGCTAGGCGGGTATGGCTTTGAACTTGAACTGCAAATGTTCAGTTGATCTCTCTGAGATCATTTCATTTCATTTCATTTTCACACAGTTCATTTCATCTCTCCCATCCTCCACTTTCCCAGCCATAAGCAACATTCAACTCTTGAAACCACAGCCTACTATGGAATAAATCATTCTTAAATTCTAGAGTTTACTAGTAAGTTATCTTTAAACTGACAGATTAATATGCAAAGAGCAACAAAGCCTTCCCAAGAAAGCCCTATAATGGTCCCAAGGACCTCACTTCTAACCAGTCATAGAGAAATGATGGAGGAAAAGAGCTGAAAGACAAGGCCCCGGTTGCCAAGTGCCACCCTTCCACTGAAAAATGGCACACCATCTTTCCTGTCTCCAGGGCCTGGTCCATCAGCAGTTTCTTGGTTATCAACTGTAACTACCAATGGGGGAAAACATGCAAAATTTGCCATCTGTTTCTCAATTCCCTAAAATATGACACACTCCACTCACTGCAACACACTGAAATCACCTTGTATATTCCCCTACTTGGACCTTGTATTTATGCAAAATTTCTCTAAAATGGATATTCAGGGAAGCAGGGGACAGTGGGGGGACACCAGCAGGACAAGCTGAAGTATAGTAATTATTTTAGGGAAATGTTAGCAATTCTGTACCAACTTTGAATAAAGTGAAAATTTTACTTTAAAAAAATGAGGCTAGCAATATCAAAAAATAAACAAAATGAGAATAGCAATAGCAAAGGCACTGGGAAATCATGGCAAAAGATTAAAACTTCATACACTTTTGTGTGCGCACGTGTGAGTGTGTGTGAGACAGAGAAAAAAAATTAACACCTGGTGGAATCTGAATAACTAGGAGCTTGCCTTAGCCCATCTATTCCTATACAGTATATACTATTCAATAAAAATCTAGCTCATGACTGCTAACTTAACGTCATTTCTGAAAATGTATCATCTCTCATTAACAATAGCCCAGGAGGAAGAAACGGCCCATTAAACAAGCAATGATTTCTCTGTCCAAATCACCAGCAAATATTACTCACCTGATAGATAGAATCTATGATATTCCAGCCATTGCTCAAGCAAAATTACTCATTCCTCGCAAACCTGGCTGGAAGCCTTCTGCATCACACCTGTGACAGTCTGTGGCGGCCTTTTCCAGACAGTACAAAAGAACAGTAGGATGTCCAGGCCACACTGCACAGAGCCCGGGGAGAGCCCTTTAATGCCATTATTCACTGATTTTTATGGCCCAAAGAAGGTAACATAGTATTTAGCAGTATTTACCATTTTTTCTATTTTCTAACTTACAGCCTTCTATTAAGTATGCTCAGTTTTCATCAACTATCCACCAATTTTATGAAAACCTCAGTGTACCATCAAACACTTCATCTTTTCTGAAAACAATCACTCTCTTGGTGAAATGACACACAATGAAAAATAAATTTTAAAACAGTTTGTTTCCTTTAAATAATAAATTGCACTGAAAAAATTATCCATGTAACCAAAAACCACCCATACCCCAAAATCTACTGAAACAAATTTTCTTTTTTAAAGGGAGTGGAGAAGGAAACCTATGGTCTGAGAGGGACCCAAGCAGGAAACATCAGCCAAGTGCACGGTGCAGACATCTTCCGGAGTCTGATGCAAACCAGTGGGTAATGAGATACTAAAGCACCGTAATCTCTGCCGAGCCAGTTGAAGAGAGCAAGAAATTTTGGTGATTTTTCTTGAATGAAATGTAATTTTTTTTTCAAAAGTGTTCTTATCTTCTAGAGATAAGTAATAAGGTATTACAAATAAAATACAATTGAGGTCGAGGGTGTATATCGGAAGAATCTGGGGTAGGGGTGGAGCTAGCAGAAGGTAGGGGTAGAGATGGAGTAGAATTGGCTACAAGTTGATTGCACTTGAACTTGAGCAATGGGTACATGCAGGTTCAAGACACCCTTCTCTCCACTTTTGCAAATTTTTATAATTGTCCATTTTGGAAAAAAAAAGTTAAAAGTAAATCAAACTTCACAAAACCAACCAAACCCCCCCACATTCACCCTGTAAATATCATTTTCACATCAGACTGAAGAGGACAGAGCGTGTGTGTGTTTATTTACTGGGAGGACTGCCTTAAGGTATGAAATAATATTCAAAGGTCTTTCAAAATTAAAAAAAAAAAGTTAAAAAACCTTGTTGTTCAAGTGAACACTGACATCGGAGTCCATGAAATGCGAAAGTCATCACTCACCTTTTTCAGAGCACAAGCCTTTATGACTTTTTCATATCGTTCCTTTTCATATTTCTTCCCAAACAAAATATTACTCCTCACAGTTCCCGAGAACACCCAGGGCTGCTGAGACACATAAGCAACTCTTCCATGCACGCTGACCAGCCCGTGACTGGGGGCCAATTCCCCGAGCACAGCACTTAACAGTGATGACTGAAACAGATTGTAAAAAAACACATGTTCAGTCAACACTCGAGACAAGAATAAGCCACTGCAATGCAGCCTTGCCCAGTCCTGGGAGCTTGAAAAACATCACTCATTCATTTAAAAGAGGATCTAGTACAGCCAGGAAATTGTGAATAAAAATTGGAAATAACATTTTGGTCCATATAAACTAGGGGTTTATAAGGAATGTTAAAATAGAGTGTAACAATGTACTCTGCCCTAATGAGTTTCCCTAAATGAGTTTCATTCCCCTAAATGAAATGGTACATGGAACAAAGATCAACTAAGAATGTTTACAGCAACAGGGTAGCCAAGCATGACATATAGTTCATATATCCAATATTGAATGCATTGTTCCTGCATGCAGGTATCCTTTTTGACAAAGAACTAGTTCTAGAAAAGCTATATGTAAATAACATATCCTGGCCAGGCGCAGTGGCTCACGCCTATAATCCCAGCACTGTGGGAGGCCAAGGCGGGTGGATCACTTGAGGCCAGGAGTTCAAGACCAGCCTGGCCAACATGGTGAAACCCCATCTCTACTAAAACTACAAACATTAGCCGAGCATGGTGGCACGCCTGTAATCCCAGTTACTTGAGAGGCTAAGGCATGAGAACCACTTGAACCCGAAGTGGAGGTTGCACTGAGTCTAGATCGCGCCACTGCACTTCAGCCTGGGCAACAGAGCGAGACCGTGTCTCAAAAACTAAACCTACATACATACATGAATAAATGAATGAATAAATAAAAATAAACAATATATCCTGTGCACTAGGAAGGACTTTTATTTTTAACTACCCAAGAATCGTGTCTCTGGAGAGCAAACTTCAATTGTGAAACCGCCCTAGATGTAGGTTATATACCTACATCTAGATTTACTGCGTTGCTTTAGAGTGCATGACACTAATTCTGTATGCATGTTTCCTTCACATCTTCTACAATGCACAGACGTGACATGTCTGCACCCCCCACTATCGGAACACTTAGGACATTGAACTGAAATGATCTGTTTGTATATCTGTCTCACCCCAGATACCAGAAACTTCTGGAGGGCAGTGGTGTCTGGGTCTTGATTACAGGTGAATCTTTTACTCCTAACACAGGACTGAACACCTGGCTACAGGTTTATTAAATGTATGTTCATGTGACTTGGAGAAGTCATATCAAAACATGTTTAAAGCTTTTCAGACAAGCCTTCACAACCTCCACGTCTTGTAGCATCTAGGGTTCACTTTGACAAAAAGAAGTTCCCATTTTCTTAGTCAATCCATCCTGCATCGTGATCACGTAAATAATTTCCTTCATGGTGATGTCCAACTTCTAGGAGTTCCCAATTATGCAACTTGAAGAACCAAGAGAAACAGGAGATGCACTGCCCACATTTACTTGGTCATGTGACCCTTCTTGCAAAACGAATGTTCCATGTACTGAGAAATGCCGTGCCAAGCATACCCAATTCAAAAATGTGTTACATGTAGCCTTGGGCTCAAACCCAAGAAGTTAATATGAGAAGTGGGGTGCGTCAAGCTGCCAAAAGCCATTCTAACTCACCTTCCCTGCTCCCACGGGGCCGACCACAGCTAACAATTCACCAGGTCTGACAGTAAAGGAGAGGCCTTGTAGAGTTGGGGTCTCTGATGCCTACAAATTAAAGTTTATAAAATGTGCCCATTTCAATAAAGTCACACAAATCACTTCAAAAAGAGAAGAAAACAATACAATAGTCACTGATACACGAACATAACCCAAATCTTTCTCCTTCCTATTTTAATATATTGTATCCTAGAGTCCTTTTCATAAATCACATTTTTTTTCGTGGGTTTTAAACAGTTTGGAGTCTTCAGTACTTAAGGAAGGCCCATTCTCTTTTACCCGATTTTCATGTGAACACAGCTGCACACTTCCACAAAATTTAGATAGTAACAATGACAAGGCAACCTTCTTGAAATGAAAACTCATGCTAACTTATTAAAACAATTTTTTTTTTTTTTTACTTTAAGTTCTGGGACACATGTGCAGAACCTGCAGGTTTGTTACATAGGTATACATGTGCCATGGTGGTTTGCTGTACCTGTCAACCTGTCATCTAGGTTTTAAGCCCTGCATGCATCAGGTGTTTGTCCTAATGCTCTCCCTCCCCTTGCCCCCCACCCACTGACAGGCCCCGATGTGTAATGTTCCCCTCCCTGTGTCCATGTGTTCTCATTTAAAACAATATTCTTAATATAATATTCAGTACGGGAGCTTTTCAATCATTTGTAAGTTTTCCTTCTGTCCCTTGGTTTTAATATTCTATTTCATTAACCTCCACAAGGTGGCAGCATGAGTACATGGCATGCCCAGTCCTTGGCTAATAGATGATGTGAAATCTCCACTAATCTCTCCATTTTCACTTGATAAAGCAGGAACCTCAGTTACGTCCAGCCAGCAAGAAGGCACTTTATACTATAAAGTCACTCTTGGCAAATGAACTTCTACAAATGGTGGTCAACCCTGTAACCAGAGCTCTAATTTAACAACAACCAAAAACTGAAGAATAATGAAATTAAGTATATGTTCATGGGTAGGAAGATTCCTTGAGCACAGGAGATTGAGGCTGCAGTGAGCCAAGATTGCACCACTGCATTCTAGCCTGGGTGACACAGTGAGACCTCATCTCAAAAAAAAAAAAAAAAGTTCTTTTACAGTTTATTATTTAGGAGACCAAATTCATTACTTTTACAAAGAGCTTCTAAATATTTTCAATCGAGAGGATTAAGTGCGTATCAGGGAGAAGGGATAGTTTACCAGAGCATGACAAACCAAAATGAGGAGGTTTCCTCTTCTCATACAAGGACAATCAATACTTTGAATTGTCTATCTTTTAAAAAAGCAAAAGTCACTTGGTACAAATAAAGAGAGGAATGGTTTTAAATTCAGAGTATAGAACCTCAACCGTAAAAACTGCCAACGATGAGAACTTTTATCCAAACCCAGACATCAACACTAGCAAACAAAAATTGATACTGTTAAGTGAAGTAAAAACAGCTACAATTTGGGAGGAATCCTAAAGGGGTTTAAGTCTCACATTTACAGTCTTCATCTGAATTTCCCATAGATAGACTAGAGAGACCTGACCATGTGTGTCTGATGGGTGGGCATTTAGCAAATTTATTTGAGTCCCAAATCCTTTCAGAAAGGGTTATTCTTCCGCACAACACACTTTGGTAAATGCTCATCCATATCATAGAAAAACGATCAAGAGTGAATCAAAGGCAATGCAGCCTCCTCAACTCTAGAAAAGGATTCCTCAAAATGAACCTGGCATCCCTGAAGGGTGGAACACCCCTGGGATGATGGAAGAGGGAAGCACGCATGAAGTCAACCAACCCGCAACCTAAAGATGCTGAGCTGGCCCAGTCCACAAACAGGTACTCATCAACCCCTCTCCACATCTCAGGTGGGCACGTGCGATTAGTAAAATGCCCAAAAGACAGAAAGCACCGCGGAGGAACAAGAGATCAAGATAACCTTCAAAATGAAAAATTTATCTGGAAACGACTTAACAGTCACATACCCAAATAATCACAAATATTTTTATAAATGGTCAAATGCCAAAATATGTGTGTATGTAATCTGACCCCTTATAAATGTGTCCCGTACCATATTATAGTATGGCCACAGACCAAGTCAATCATGATCACTTTTAATCACAAAGAAACTAGCCCCAGATATCATAGGAATTATATAAAAACCATCCAGAAGAGGTTTCTCTACTCCTTCCTACATGCCTATCAACTATGTCTTTTTTAAAAAAGTAATACATTATTACCTAAACACTTGGAAAAAATAACGTTAAACAAAATGTGACCTATTTACACGATTTTGTAAGTGCAAACTTGTCACAAATTCACAAAGTCTTGCTTGACTTAGCCTTACTGTATAAAGTGTTCCTCCTCTAAAATGTAAAGGGTCTACTCTGTATTCCTGATTAAGTAACATTGTCTTTTAAGACAACTGAAACCCACTTATTTCTGTGATTACAAAAGGATGAAAAAACACAACTGGTCAACCTGTCCCTTTCCCCTCCTTTGCAGTGTGTCTCTTTCCTAACAACTACTTCTGATTTTACTTCTTTTTACTCAGTTTTGACTGCAAAAGAGTGAGCCACATGCAAAACCCAGCTTCCCATCACGGTCCTGGTTCTTAGAGCAGGTTTCTGCCCCACCTGGAGGCCTGGGACCCCGCACTGGTGCGCCGCAGCCAGAAGGGGGCAGCACTCGACAGCTCAGAAGGCGAGGCCCCTTCCCTCTGAGACCTCCAGGCTCCAGGACACTAAGGCAGGCAGACTGAGCCCCCACTCTGGGGCCGACCCTATGCTGGGCCCTGGGGCCAGAGCAGTGAAGAAAGCAGAAGCAAATCCCTGCCCCATGGAGAGTCACAGGCTCCCACAGGACCACAGACTTTACAGCTTAGAGATTCAGCACAAGCCCGTTTGTTTTCTAAATGAGACCCTAGGCTGGTGAGAAGACCTTTCCCCCAATACCCAGTGGTCTATCCAGCAGGGCTGCTGCTGGGGCCTCTGTCTTTCTCCCGAATCCCAGCCCAGCACACCCTTCTTTCCTCTGCAGCTTCTCTCCAAAAGCCCCAGGGTCTGTGCCCCTCCTCCCACCCAAGCACCCTCTCAGCTGCATGACCTCCCTAATAATCCCTGGCAGCGTGGGGCATAATCACCCCAAGACAAGGCCCAGAAAACAGGGTGGAGTGTTCTGTTTCAATGCAGCTGTCAACGTTGTCTAGGAACTGAACAACAACAAAACAGCCCATTTTACAATGTTGCAAGGTTTGGTACAAAAAAAATTTGCAAATGGGACCTACACAGTGTGTGGTGGCTACCGCAGTGCCTTCCTCTAGCTCAACAGCATTCGCCTAGAGTGCTTTTTGCTAGTGGATGTTCACAGAGCTTTTCTATCAATGCTTAAAGTGTATTAGAGCTGGGCGCAGTGGCTCACACCTGTAATCCCAGCACTTCAGGAGGCCAAGGTGGGCAGATCACTTGAGGCCAGAAATTCAAGACCAACCTGGACAACATGGCAGAAACCCCGTCTCTACTAAAAATACAAAAATTAGCCAGGCATGGTGCAGTGTTCCTGTAATCCCAGCTACTCAGGAGGTTGAGGCAAGGGAATCACTTGCACCTGGGAGACGGAGGTTGCAGTGAGCCAAAATCACACCACTGCACTAAAGCCTGGGCAAAGGAGCAAGACTCCATCTCCAAAATAAATAAATAAATAAATAAATAAATAAATAAAGTGTATGAGGTGGGAATGCCAGCAGGTAAGGAGAAATTGTCCGGTCAGGTGACGTACCTTGTGTGAGTTTCCATGTGCACAAGGTGCAATGATGTTCTATATATTTGGGAACACATTATTGTTCTGTCGGTCGAGATGGCAAAAATTACATCAGAATTAGGCAAACATGAAACAGGGAGTGTGATACTTAGAGCCAAGGGCATGTAGAGAAAGGAAGAGTCTGGAGTCTAGAGTTTTGACATTTGTCCCACACGAGAGGGCGGAGACAGTGGGGCTGGGCAGGAGTGCTGCTCAACCGCCTATTGGCTCTTGGCTCCAGCAAACTACACTACAACTCAAGGTCAGCCACGAAGAGCACCCGGAGAGGGGAGGAGCTGGTCACCACCAGCACTGCCCACCTGTTTTAAGCAGTCCAAGCGGTCCCAGCGCCCTCAGAAGAGACCCTTGCCCTCTGATCCGAAATCTTGCTGGCAGCCGGGCCACTGGGCTCTGCTCCTGGCAGACATCATCTCCAGCCCCAGGGTGCAGCTTCCTGCCATGGCTGGTCTCAGGGTGGCCTCTTCCACCCCTGCTTTCCCTTTGTGCTCTTTCTTTCATCCCCTATGTAATGAATTCTCTGCACGAAATTCCCTCTCCCATGCTGTATGTTCTGTTTTCCAGACTAACACAGACTGAGACAAGTGGATTTGCAGAGGACCCCGGACTCAGGTGAGCATAACCACAGAACCAGTCCAATCTGGTTCAACTCTGCATAATAACATAGTAAACTGTTTTTCAGTTGCCATGGATCCCAGGTTGCAAGTTATGTAATCTGAGCATTTCCAGATGAACCAAGCACACAACCATGGGCAGAATCCAAGTGCTGGGACCAAGGAAGGAGGAACGAGTTCAGAGCGGACACCTCATGGCCTGATCCAGGATGCGATCAGATCCAGCCCCGGCATCACTTCATTGCAAGAACCAATCGGACCACGCCTCATTACCCTCTGCCTGTAAAACCTGCCCCATCCCCCAGCTAGGGAAGACAAATTTGCACGTTGCCTCCTGTCTCCTTGCCATTCGACTTACAATGCAGCCTTTCTTTTCATGAAAAGCTGGTGCCATAGTAGTGGCTTCTATGAGCATTGGGCAGGGAGCCCACTGCTTCCTTGGAAGCATAAGGAGGGCCCTGGAGTTGTGGGTAACAGGAGATACACCGAGCCTAAGTACTTCCTGTGGGTGGCCCCTGCTGTTGTTCCCATTTGCCTAAATGTTATGAGTAAACCAAGTGCTGAAAAATCCTTGTGGCCTTGCCTGAACTACCTGTCCGCTTACCACACAGTGAAACCCTTCAGTCAGGAATCCATGGAGCTTGCTCCGCCAGCCTGCAGCCTCCCCTCTGCCTTGGGCTGCCACCAAAGCAGCTGGCAACATCCAGGTGCTTGGAATAGGGGAGCCCCAACCCAACCCCGTGGCAAAAATCCAAGTCATGGGCTTTCTCAATATGTAATAAGATGACCTGAAAACAGTAAGGTGAAAATGTGCACTGATACCTCAAAGTCTCTGTAATAATTTACAATGTACTCAGCAGTTAACCCATTCCATGCTGCACCCCAGTCTGTCCAATCCTATAAAATCCAATGTTGCCAATGTCCAAACACTGACATTTAGTTTAGAATGAGGTAACACTTTCATTGGTTTTTTGAAAATGAGATAAAATACAAGTTGTCAAATACCTAAGTCTGATTTCATACCTACTTTCTATTAATTGCAAAACTTACTCCTAATTTTGAGAATCTTTGTAACATACTTACAGTAAATGAGCAAGCCATATGTTATACCATGTGTAACACCTCAAAATTCTGTATTAAATCAATGTCACTCATTATCTATTAGCAGTCATGATCTTGCAATTAAGGATATGTTACCTTATCCCAAAAAGCAGTAAAGTCCTGCACATGCACCATCTTTTTACCATCTGACGGTGGCTGACGGTTACGCTGCAATATCTCATCAAGTAGCAAAAAGTTCTAAAGAAAATGGGAAAAACACAGATTGTTTAAATTACAGAAACAAAAGCACAAACAAAAGTCACTGCTTCCACGGAATTTGCAACATAAAACTTTATACAGCCTACAGATCATTTTACCAACCCTATTTAAAGTATCGGTTCATATCAGCATATGATATTTATTTAATAAATAAACATATAAAGAGTTCATGGCCATGAAATATCTTTGTAATTTTAGGAGCTATCTGTGTAATTTTTTTCAACAAGTACACTGGTTCCTAAATAAACTGAAAATACTGCTCTGAGGTTGAGTGCATTTACAGCCTGCATATTTCTACTATTGCACCTTTGTGTTACTAATGGTGAACACGGGAGTTGGTTGGAAATGATCTGATGAATATTTCATGAACCCTCATCGTGTGCCAAGCCCCACGCTAGATGCTGGCAACATGAAAGTCAAGGCCATTTCCAGCCTTCAGAAAGCGAAGTTAGCCCTGAAGGGCAGGCGGCAAACACAGGGCAGAGCCTCTGAAGGCAGCTCTGGCTCTGGCTGGTCACTTAGATTCAAATGGCCTTTCTCAGACTCCCTCGTGCATGTCAAATTGACATACAACTTATTCACTATCACTAAGTCAGTGTTCTTTACCAAAAAAAAAAAAAAGGCTTCTATCTCTTAAAACATATTTTATAAGCTTCTTTTCAAAATAACTTGTTACATATAACAATATATATATAACATATATTATATATATATATATTTTGAGACAGTGTCTCTCTCTGTCGCCCAGGCTGGAGTGCAGTGGCACAATCTCGGTTCACTGCAGCCTCTGCTTCTCGGGTTCAAGTGATTCTCCTACCTCAGCCTCCCGAGTAGCTGGGATTACAGGCATCTGCCACCATACCTGGCTAATTTTTGTATTTATACTAAAGATGGGGTTTTACCATGTTGGCCAGGCTGGTCTCCAACTCCTGGCTTCAAGCGATCTACCTACCTTGGCCTCCCAAAGTGCTGGGATTACAGGCGTGAGCCACCGTGCTCCACCTACACTTATCTTTTTCCTTAGTCAATGCCTCCTCCTAGACAGCAGGAATAGCCCAATCTCTCGCTTATTGCTATTTTCCATACTAGTTAGCAACTACACAATGCAATTTAACTGAATAAAACAAAGTCCTGCTAACCATAACAAACCTAACATAATTATATGTAGGAAAACTCCCTTTTGCTCCTCAAATGGTAGGTATAACTCAATGAGAGAAGCTACAGTGGCTTAGAAACAGAATAAACAACCTAGATCACCCCCACCCCATCCAAAATTTTGTAGATGTGGCAAAAGCTGTCAGCTCTCCTCAAAATCTGCTCTCATTTTCTGTGATTAACAAAACTCCCAATTTTTAGCCAATGCACAGCAGCCTTGAACAAGGACCACTCTCTCCAGCCCCTAATGCAGTTAGATGTAGTCGCATGACTTAAGTTCAGCCCAACAGAAAATGACAACGTCCAGGAAACTTCCTATACCCCAATGTCCAGTCCTTGGAAGCTGCCTGGACAACTTCCCCTCCAAAATCCAGGTGGTGAAACTCAATGGCCAATGTGATGGTATTAAGAGGTATTTAGGCCATGAAAGCTCCTCCCTCATAAATGGCATTAAGGACCCTGTAAAGGAGGCTTTGGGCAGTAGGCAGCCCTCTAAGCCCTTCCACCTTCTGCCCTTTAAGGACACAGCATTCCTCACATCTGGAATATGGAGCATCAAGGCACCATCTACAAGCAGAGAGCAGGTCACTAGAAAACTGAACCTGCCAGTGCCTTGATCTTGGACTTCCCAGCCTCCAGAGTGGTGAGAATTTCTGTTTTTCATAAATTACCCAATCTGTAATTTATGTTTACCCATCATAAACAGACTAAGACACCCCCAAAAAAGATAAAGTCATAACCTCAGGACCTCAAAGGTTGACTGTATTTGGAAACAGGAGTGTTACAGATGTAATTAGTGAAGACGAAGTCATACTGGAAAAGGGAGGATCCTAAATCTAACATGATCAGTATCTTTCTAAGAAAAGAAGAGAGAGACAGAGAGAGACACACGGGCAGAAAACAATCAAGTGATTAGGACACAGACGAGAGGGATGCAGCTGCAATCCCAGGACTGCCAGCAACCACTGGAAGCTCAAAGCGGCAAAGAAAGATTCTCCCCTGCAGGCTTCAGAAGGAGCCTGGCACTGCTGACACCGTGATTTCAGACCTCCAGCCTCCAGAATCATGAGAGGCTCAATTTCCATTGTTTTCAGTCACAGTGTTTGTGGCACTTTGTTCCAGCAGCCCTCACAAACTCACAAGGAAACTTATGAGGATTTTGCATGAGAAAAATAAACCACCTTGTATAAATGGCTATTACACGGGTATTCTGCAAACACTGGCAACTCTGAAGCAACTGAAATGAGCATGGAATATGTTTTGAGACAGAGAAAACAACACTTATATAAGTCATCTACTACTCTAAAATTTGTCAACATCCTTTGAGCCCTTAAAATTTTTGTCTGTCACTTCACATTTGACTGCAATGTTACACTTCAAAAGAACAAAAACTGAAAATGAAAACCTTCTTCCATGCAGGAAAAGAAAGATACTTTCCTTTCTTCTATATAGGAAAAGAAAAAAAATCAGTATTTCTCTCAAAGACCCAGCAAGCAGAAGATGCGGTCTGTTCTTCTGCTCCCTCACTATCCACCCACCAGCCTTACTGAGAGCCGACTTAGGAGTGGGCACTGCTGGTCGTCCCTGCACAAGCCCATGTCTGGCATGGCAGAGAGGGCAGACAGATGCTGGCCTGAATGTTCTGCTGTAGGCTTAACCACAGCATCTCTGCTTCCTCCTCCCATACCACCTATTCCATGGTCAATGAGATAAGAATCTGGGCCTAATTTGCCACAGTTCACTATTCCTCAAGAAATGACCCAGTTGGGCCAGGCGTGGTGGCTCACGCCTGTAATCACAGCACTCCGGGAGGCCGAAGTGGGCAGATCACTTGAGGTCAGGAGTTCGAGACCAGCCTGGCCAACATGGCGAAATCTCATCTCTACTAAAAATATAAAAATTAGCCAGGCTTGATGGCACACGCCTGTAGTCCTAGCTACATGGGAGGCTGAGGTATGAGAATCGCTTGAACCCGGGAGGCAGAAGTTGCAGTGAGCTGAGATGGCACCACTGCACTCCAGCCTGGGCAATAGAGCAAGACCCTGTCAAAAAAGAAAGAAAGAGGAAAGAAAGGAAAGAAAGGAAAGGAAGGAAAGGAAGGAAAGGAAGGAAGGAAGGAAGGAAGGAAGGAAGGAAGGAAGGAAGGGGGAAAGAAAGAGGGAAAGAGAGGGAAAGAAAGAAGGAAAGAAAGAAAGAAAGAAAAAGAAAGAAAAAGAAAAAGAAAAGAAAGAAAGAAAGAAAGAAAGAAAGAAAGAAAGAAAGAAAGAAAAGAAAAGAAAAGAAAAGAAAAGAAAAGAAAAGAAAGAGGAAGGGACGGAGGGAGGGAGGGAGGGAAAAGACCAGACCCAATTTCACAAGTTTACTGACCGGCAATCATGTGTGATACTGATGCAGTGTTTTCACTGGTCCCTTCTCCAGTATCCCCCATCAAAACCAACCGTTCCCAAACACTACTCCCTAAGGATCTTCTGAAAACACCTCTGATAATGGACACCATGCTTCAAACTCTTCCATGGCCCAGCAGCACTGACATTCACACTCCCAAAGTGATTCCCTGAGTATTAATCCCACCCTGTCCTTCAGGGTCCACCTCAAAAACTAATCCTGCCGGGAGCCAGCTCAGGGTGGCCACAGCTGGTACTGAAACTGAGTTATGTACAGGGCAGAGATGCGTCCCCCATCCTGCACTTACAAACACACTCATCTGCATGAAACTGCACTGCACTCGGGGTCAGCTCTTCACAGATACATGCTATGGTCAGAAATCGACTGTATGATTGGCTTAAATTATTCAAGCCATCAGCCACGTCAGCACAGCAACAAGCAAAAGGCTATACATCTTCTTAATCTTGTCTAGACAGAATAAAATTCTGATTTTAGCTGAAGTGTATGACCAAGACATCAAATTCAATATTCTGTACATGCATGTGAGAACAGAAGTTCCCCACCTTCAAAATAAAAAATTATCCACACAGTAAACCTACTAAGCACTGGTCAATATACAATAGATCTGAGTGGAGAAAGACATGATAATAGTTTGGTGGTTAAATGAGACTCCACTCAACACATGAATGGCTTGTAAAGATGCTGGAGGGGCTGGCTGGACTTTCTCTAGTCACTCAGGAGGATGAAAAAGCTGAAATGCCATTGCCAATACAGCAATGAGGTGCGTCCCCAGCATAGTTCACTTGCGGAAGTATCAGACAGCAGAACTGAAGTCAAAGAGATTGACTTCAGAGTGGATGGTTGGCAAAAACTGGAGCAGCTTTGTGAACAATAAAACCTCAGAGACACGTTTTACTGGATGTGGAAGTCATTGAAGACTTTCAGTGCTTTGCTGTGAAGATAAGATCTCTTAAAATCCTATTGGACTTCCTTAATGCCAAAACCATCAATCCTTTTCTTAATAAAAGAAAAACAGACAGAACTTCTTGGACCTAAAATCTTCACAATAAAACCTTCATTTTCTGTACATGGAAAAAAGGAAATGGAAAAGTATGAGTAAGAAAGACAACAGATTAAAGACTTAAATGTAAAACCTAAAACCATAAAAAACCCTAGAAGAAAACCTAAGCAATACCATTCAGGACATAGGCATGGGCAAAGGACTTCACAACTATAACACAACAAAAACAATGGTAACAAAAAGCAAATTGACACAAATGGGATCTAATTAAACTAAGAGCTTCTCCACAGCCAAAAGGAAACTATCATCAGGAGTACAAGGCAACCTACAGAGTGGGAAGAAAATGTTTGCAATCATACCCATCTGACAAAGGCTAATATCCAGAATCTACAAGGAACGTAAACAAATTCACAAGAAA